TCCTGCTGCTCTTCAATACGGGATCCACACATAATGAGTACATAATATTTAAACGTGACTGCAAAACAGGACGACAAAATTTAAATCAACTAATCTGACGTCCCTGGTTTGCATTTAAAATGCTGTGGACACGAATATTTGACGTCATACACTGCTTCTAATTATTCAGGAGGACAATGCATAGCACCCAAGTGTTCGGAGAGAAAAATAATTATATTAAAAGAAACGAGCATACATAACGACGAATACAGAATCTGAGTCTAGAAATTATTTTAAAAAATTCGACTTTCTGCAACTGCGCTCCTTTACCTAGCTCCGGACACTTAAGGCTTTGACCGGGATGTTCTTTTGTTAAATCTTATGTGGTACCGCCTGATTCGACTTCTAATGGTTAAGTGAAGTGTTTTCTTCGCGGTACGGTCTGGATTCGTAAATATTATGAAGACGAGCTTCGGCTTCAAAGGGTTAACCAGCTGATTTTCGTAATGGTGAGGTGTAATGTTTTCTTCGCGGTACGGACTGAATTATTACGTAATATTTAGACGATCTTCGGCTTCGAAGGGTTAAATAACACCACAGTGGAAACTTAGGTCGCAGATAAGAATGAAATTTGAACTTCATTAATATATCTGTTTCTCTAAAAGACAAGTTTTAAACGTGAAATAGTTTAATTTACAAACGTAATACTCTTACATAATTATTTAGCATAAAATGAACACAGATGAAGAAAATCTTACCCCACGTTGGCGTCGGTAACGGTATCAACCGCAGAACGAGGCAGGGGGCGTCCTTTTTCATAGTTCGTATTTCTGGAACAGGCGCCAATTCACGGCAGCGCAAGGGTAACTCACCCTCACAACTGAGCGGTCGGACACAAACTAAAGCACCCTGCCTGCCAGCAGCCAGCTCAGCACAAGCAACAGATGTTACACGACTCTATGATTCATCACCACAATGCTGCCACAACAGACAGACTGAGAGATCGAGAAATCTACAAAACTGGCTTGTAATAATAAGAAAGTCACACGACCTTGCGCCAGGGATTAAAAGGCGAAACTATGATCGCTGAAGTTGGTGATTCAACCGCGTTCAAGCTTCGTTTCACCACTCAACAACTGATAAAAGTTTTATCAACCGTATAGATTATTTCCGCAGATTAGAACCTGTTAGTCACGGCTACCGAAGACGAAATATTTTGTTCGCAAATATCTTAAAAAAAATTAATTACGAACTGTTTATAAATGCTATTAGACATTTATCTTGTAGCGAAAACCAGAAAATTCACGAAGCACTGTTCGTAAACGGAATTGCTTAAAACAATGAGCGGAGTCCCCTCTTTCGGTCCGCGGAACACAAATATCTCGAGGCACTTTCTAGCTGCAAGTAGTCGTACGGACACATCCGTTGGGTGTAGACCCAGGCTGGCAACGTGCCACTCCTAAAGACCACAGAAACAAAACACACGCGGTATCCGTCTTGTGCTGGTAGTGGCGGGTAAGAAATTATTTCTGTTGTTCTCTTTTGACGTTTGATTTAAAACTGTTCCCTCTTTCGGACTGAAACTACGTCTATCGAGACCTATCGCCTGTGACGTCAGAAGCTACGACTTTCAGTAAGCAATACAGTAAAAAGTTGTAATGCCTCCTTCAGGGTCGCAAACCACAGAATGGCGCACACAGCTGCTGGCCGTGAAGAACATCGCGCACTTCGTGACTCACACAACCGGAATGACGTCTATTGTCGGGGAATTATTATTATTATTCCGTAATATTCCTTACAACTGGATGACGCTGGCAGGGGGAAAATGTGCGCAAATTTTTCTGTGTTCCACTTCGATGACTAATCATGTTTCCCGTGGTCTCGGATTCGACGCCTGGGGGCCCACGCGTTCAGAAGGAAAAGATAATGAAATTGGTCCCCAATGACGACTAAAAACAGCTGAATATCACGCCCGGAACGGGATCCACCTGCCACACTTTCGAATCCTGAGTTTTATTTTTTATTTGTAGTGTTCTGTCTGACTACAGGTCCATATGAACAGGATCCTTCCATCCTTTTCTCGGACTGGGACCTGTTCATATACGTTCTTGGCAGGTGATCCAGAAGTGGTTTGCCATTGCCTTCTTCTGTGTGTGAATGGAGTAATTGTTGGGATGCCACGGAGGAAAACTCCGTGTTGCCTAGACCACGGCCTTGCCCAACACAAGTTATAAATTTGGGCACCTGCGGGAATCGAACCCGAGACCCCCAGGATTACAAGGATAGCGTTCTGACAGCTAGACCACCGTGGAATCCTGAGTATCAATCTGAAATAATTCCCTTGGTCCTATGAAGTGCGCTACTTGAACAGGTCGATTCATAAGGCCCCTTTTTTGAAAATACGGGAAAATGTGTCGTGCATTACATTTTATGGTCCTCTGGAGAAGACGGAATGAGTTCATGTTTAGCGAATTCATTTCCGTGCTTCGCGTCAAAACAAACGATTTATTGTAGCCATGGAAACTGACATCACCGACTGGCGCCAAAGTTTCGTTTCCGTGGAAACGGCAAATGTAAGGAGTTCCCTTGTGTGTACATGAAAGGAAAGCTTTGTGAGCTTCAGATATTTATTATCTCTGTTTACTTCTTTCGGGATCCCTTTTTTATCTCCCTCCGTCGTGAGCCAAATATCGTGAAGGAACACACAACTTCATGTATGTAACGATGAATAAGAAAGATAGAGCAGGTTTAGTCATCCGGAATATTGACCTCACTCAGTACACCGGAGGCTTCCTTGCGTGAAGACATCTCAAAGTTTATTGCCAGCCTCCGTCTTTAGAGCGGTCTTACACCTAAAATTCCAGATCCTATTTCTTCATGAACTTCCATATTACATACATCACGGACGCAGTGTCGGGTTTTTTAACACTAGAAGTTCTTAAACAAGAGTTCTAACCTGCGATTGGGTCTCCCAAGTATCTGTTCGCTTGTTTTCCCCACGTAAAATTTTGTGTTCATTCCTTCATGGGTAAATAGAGAGAGAGAGAGGCCTTGGGTCGGGCCTGTCCTCCCCGGGCGAGGAGTCCTATGACACAGACAATGCCACACACCGTCCTTACAGTGGCACTGAAAGATCTTAAATGATTTCGTGAAATATTAGTTATTAAGACAGCGCCGTTGGATTTGATTTGCTACGAAGTCAAAGACATTTTTTTAAAGTACGTGTTATTGAACCTGATGATGAATAATTTTAGTCGAAACATGTTCACGAGATGAATGGCTTTTTAAAACGCGCAAACACGAGAAATAACTAACGAAACTGCGAACACGATAGGATGTTTCACTACGCATGATGGTAAATTATTTAATGACGCTTACTCAACTACATAGAACACGCAGCTACGAATGGAAGAGGAACCTCGGAAGGAAAAGGTCGTGGTCTATTTTATGGTCCTATCCCAGCGTTTACCCGGACAGACGGAGAACAAACGCGCAAATCCTCAGCGCACGATACACGTCAAAATGTGGAACTGGCTGACAACCAGTCGATAGTTTAGGTTAGGAGGCTGCAATTACGAGAAATTTCGTCTGAACATCATCAGGAAATCACCGATGGACAATGGGGAAGCCCACGAGAAGGGATGACGTCAATTTTTACGATCTTCCAGACAGTCATTTGTTCCCGGTAAGCAACAAGTGGCGCGGAGATGCCATCACCATAGCAACCTTGAATGACTCGACGCACACACGAGGAATGTGTGTTCCTCTCATACGAACATATACTCATGAGAAAAAGTCGCCAATTACGGAAGCTGCACGGAATTAGCACTGCGGGGCCAAGTTTAGACAGCAGAGACCACAGGAATGAATCGGCGCTGGAACGCGCGTCGAGAGGGAGTTCTTGGTATATCGGCTCATCAAGTCGGTCTTTGTTCCTAAACCAGACATGGGCATGACCAAGAAAGGTCTATAACGATGCGGGGAAAACTTAAGTCATTCGTGGATCGTTTAGACCGGACGTCAAGGCCCGGTGGTCGTTCCTGTATCGTCCTGGGTTCAAATCTCGGCCCCGGAGGCCAACTATTCTGGCAATTTTCACGATTTTACTCAGTCCCTCCAGTTAAACGCTAGGATTATGCCTCGCATTTGGGCACTGCCAGTTCCTTCTGCAGTCTTTCCAGCTCATTTTTCACCAATCACCATATCATACAACGCTAGTACGCCCAACCTGAGCAACTTACAACTTTGTTAAAGCACGACATTCTGTGAAATGTGTTTTCTTTGCGGTACGGACTGTTTTTTTTTTTGCTAAATACTGCTCAAACGAGCTTCGGCTTCGAAATCCTCGGTACGTTGTTCTTGGAATTTATATTTGTAGTTGTTGTTACCTCTTGATTTAAATAATACCTCCGACGTTTCGGTACAGCAATTATTTATACAGGATTCATGAGCAAGAACTTGCAAGATTTATAGCTATTAAACTACCTGCCCCCCAAACACGCTTATATAATGTAGTTAAACCCTTCTTGCAGTAGCCCCTCCGAACACACAAGATATGTCATAGCTACCCGGCTCATTGAAATCTAATACACGGAATATTTACTTCGACTCTGATGTATCATAAGTGTATCTTTTGACGATTCGTCAGCGGGAAAAT